GGCCACCGTCTCTGCAGACCGCAGCATCAAACTGTGGGACCTGCGGGCGCAGAAAACCACCGTGTCCATCGACAGGTGAAGCATTTCAGTGACCTGTAAACGCTCTGAGCTCCTCTCACGCTGTGTGGCTTTTGTCTTCAGCGTGAGACACTCTGAAGTCTCAGATATTTATCAGATTCACAAAAGTTTGATGACAATTTTCAGACCCTCAGAGGAGCCCCCCTGTGCTCTTGTTCTTGTTTACATTCTCGCAATCAGTAACCATGGAAACGTCGTCTCAGCCTGCTGCTTCACCAGCAACGGGCACTTCCTGTGCACGGCGTCGTGGGACAAGACGCTGAAGCTGTGGGACCTGCAGGCGGGGGGCTTCCGATCTCACGGCGGGACGCCGCTGCAGGGAGGCCACGAAGGCAGCGTGAGTGCCTGCTGCCTCGCCGCTGCTGACGGTGAGACCTCTGAGCAAGCAGGTGTCCTCAGCTGACGTCCTCAGATTCTCCAGTAACATTTGTGCTGAACTACGAGCAAGAGGCGGAGTTTGATCGATGAACACTTGCTAAATCCACGTATGGACAAAAGAGTTCTTTTAATGTGTATTTTTAACTATTAAAGTATTTATGCATTAGGATTTAGCTAATTTTTACGAATGAAAATGAACAAAGCTCATCGTGTCGTGTGCTGTAAGTATGTTTTCTGCCCTCGTTAAGAAGCAGATCTAAAGGATCAGAGGTCAGGTGGTTTAGACCTCTGGTGGTTGCACGGCTTAAGATTTGTAAGAAATGTCAGCACCTTAGAGTCCGTCGTGCTGTTTACTGTTTAGAAAGCAAGCACTGCTCACTGAGCTGATGTGTTTTTCTGCAGGTACTGGAACATGCTCAGTTCTTCCTCATAATGTTTGCCTAATGAAATCACTTCCTGTTGTGTTTCCTCAGCGAACCTCCTGGTGTCCGCCTCCTACGACGGGACTGTTGCTCTCTGGGATTTGTCGTCTCTCTCTCAGACTCTCGTGCTGAAGGTGATTAAACTCGGCTGTGTGAAGACATCCTGATGTTTCTGGTCGTGTTCTTTTAGACACTTAACTCCTGATTTTGCTTTTCCCCCCATCAGGGCCACAGTGATTGGGTGACAGATGTGTCAGTGAGTGCTGACAGGAAGTTGGTGGCTTCTTCCTCCAAGGTTCACAAGTATTTTCACTCAC